GCAGCGGAAGAAATTTTGAGATTCGATAATCTTCCAATCACCAGTTTAATGGAGCACTGAAGCAAGCCATGACCCCAAATGATACGAGCTTTCCATGGGATACGAAACAATACTTGACTAGGCTAAAAGTGGTTCCCTAAGAAGCCTTAACGAAATGACAGCAGTGATTAGCCAGCGGTAAAGGAAGGCAGATTATACATTCTTGTAGATAACTTAACGTGGGAAGTAGCTATTCTAAAGCCTATCGCAACCGACCTCAGTGCTATTGCGTAAGGTAATACGTGACATTATGCAAATGCTCACATTCATTTAAAGATCTGCTACGCCTTGCGAAACGCCAATTGGACTGCAAAGAGCAGAACATTTCCTGAAGCCAGCAGCTGCTGCATCCAAATATCCATGGAATAGTTAAGTCAATCAGAGAAGAATAAAATATCTATAGTCAATACAGAACTTCTACACCGCAAAGTTAGTATCGAAAGTTTAACCATACTTCATTGTGTATTTTCAACAACATAAGCATATTGCAGAGTTTGAATTTTAACAGTCCAAAAACATGACAGAGTGGATGGGAAAAATAAGGAAAAAACTGGTCTTATATATAAATTCATGTCAATCTTCTATACGGATGGATCGACATCGAGGCTGGAGGGAGTGAAATAAGATGAATAGGCGAGTTAAACGTCTTGGAAGACGACTGCAGCCCCAGCCAAATTTGGTTCCATCCACAAAGGGTTGCCGTTTGTTCTTGTGTCAAGTTCATACCGAGCTCATACCCACCGTTAAGTCCGAGTTTAACAGATCTGCCAATCAGTATTTCAGCAGAGTTCTCAAAACAACGCTAAACAATCATATCTCAACCATTGATAATATCAAAAATAGACAGGCATATCGTATTCCCATTAAATCTGCATATGGATATCGCTAGCAGAAGTAACATGTATCACATAGAAATATCGTCGCCGATAGCCTTCGGCATACGTCTTGCGTCGTAAGCCGCTACGCTACGACTGTCACGCAAAAGACATCTGTGGGCTCCGCAACGACGAAAAGATTATTAGTTTCCGAATTTTAAATATATCCTCGGCTACGTTTAATCCAACAATTAAAGTACAGTCTGCTCACAAATATTCAGCAGAAGTACCCATTTTCGAAATAATATTTCAACCGCAATTAAAAATCCTTTATTCATGTCGCAAGATATAGAACTTTAACAGGTTCCTTCTCTGAAATCTCGTTTTCCAAATGCCCTATTTACTAACGTTTGAAGTCGACGTTAGCGAAGAGCATACGATATAGCAGTATTCATCAAGTGAATACTTAAATAAAAATTCTATGCAAATTTAACAGTCTAGAGCGCAAAATTTCATCTATTATTTTATCATATTATCCCTCGATTGTCATATTTTCGATAACGTACTTAAAAACTGGGTATTGCAATGTTTAAAAATAAATGAATTTATCAGATCTACATAAAAGGCAAAATGCTTGGTATGTACTTTTGAAAGAACACAAAAGCAGAGAATCCTCTTCAAAAAAACGGGACATTTAGGAGTTTCTCAAATTCTATCTAAGGATAGCTAAGCTTATGGCACATGCTGAAACATTCAGCAGCGTTTTCTACCAAAGATTTTACTGGTTTAATGGTGGAATACTCAATTCTGACCACATAAAATACACCGCGGCAACATAAAATTTTTTAACACACCTCATACAGTGTCACAAACTTACAAATGAAAGTACTTCGTATCAGTCATAGTTTTCCCTGCATTGCAACCAGAAGACTAGCAATGATAATTTTGCTAATATCTGGTTTCAGCTATAAAGTACCTAGAACAGCAATACGCAATCTGCCTTCTTCTATCACTTGTTAATCGTCACTGTCCTTATCTAGGATCAGAAAAAGACTGATATAAGTTTCGTAGAAACATTGTCTGGCATATTATCTCTGGAGAGGGAATCTTACTTAAAGCCATCGAAAATTACACAGTTTCAAATAAAAGTTAATGGCCGCTGCTAAGGACACAAAAAATAAGAGGAGAACGCAGCAATGCTGGAACTAAATCAATATAATAGCGAACAAGCAGTTGAGCTGCTATATTAAGCTGTATACCTTCAAGTACATCTATGCTGCCACCATTAC